GGCCTGGGGGCGGGACCTCCGTGACCTTGCGTCGTGTTGTCAAGGGCGACGGGCCGAGCGCGCAGCTACGTCGGGCTCTCCGCAGCCTGCTGGGCCTCAGTTTGTGCATCCCTGAAAGGGGGCCGATGATGCCCGCCTCGGGAGGGTTTGAAAGGACGGCACCGGGGCAGAAACAGTTAACGTCTCTGGAGCCAACAAGTGCCCGGCGATTTACAAAGCCGGTCTCCTCAACCCAAGGCAGGACACATACCTAAAAGGAGTGCAAGGGAGAAGTTTAGGCTTGATTTGTCTACATTAAGACATGAACTCAGGAGCCAAGCAAGCCCCGCCAGCAAAACCGGGCTATTCTTTCATTGCATTTCTCTCACCCTGTGGAGGTAAGAGTCTTCATGGGGACGCAGACCAACTCAGGTAAAAGACGGATTCCCTGGCACCGCCTGAAGTGGGGCCCAGGCGGCTCCCCGAATGATTTAGGCACACCAAAGACTCACTGCCAGGTAAAATTGCATTTCTCCTTAAAACAAACAAACAAAAAGTACTCACTGCCACAATCAAATAATTGTACAAAGACGGAGGTTACTAGAGATTGTGGCAGAAGCAGCAAAGTACAGAGTCCTCCCTGGGGCTTGGACCTGGTTGGGTCATCGGAAGGGGTGTGTCAGGGAACACTTCCAGGTGGAAGGCGTCAAGGATAACCGCAGGTTCCAGGCTTAAGCAGCTAAGAAGGTATGAGAGGTGGATGGATCTGAATGGGAGAGAACTTCAGGAAGTTCTCTCACCTGAAGACTCCCACCTAGCTCCTCTCACCCCCATCCCTCATTCTCTGCATTCAACTGGATCATACACATTCCTCAATCAGGGTCCTCGAGTGGTTTTCCTTCACACTTACCAGCAATTCCAAACCCCTCCAGGCCCTGCATGCCCTGGCTCCTGCCTCCCTCCCTCCCTCCCTCACCACACTCCCCTGAACTTGTTTGCTGACAGGAACCTCCTGGAGGGTTCTTGGGGAGGACCCCTCCTGGGGAGCCTGGCCATGGGATACAAGAGTTGGTTCTTTATCCTTGTCTTGTTTTTGTAATTCCCCAATTCATTTTAAATTCTTTCTTTAAAAAAAAATTTTTTTTTTTTTTTATTGATTTCAGAGAGGAAGGGAGAGGGAGAGATAGAAACATCAATGATGAGAGAGAATCATTGATTGGTTGCCTCCTGCACGCCCCCTACTGGGGATCAACCTCACTACCTAGCCCGGGCATGTGTCCTGACCAGGAATCTAACTGTGACCTCCTAGTTCATAGGTGGACACTCAACCACTGAACTACACTGGCCAGTGGAAATCATCTTTTGTAAGCCCTGATACATTGGCCTATAGGACAGTAGATCTAGCTTGGGGAGCCCTTTTGTTTCAGGAAAGGGAAGTGGTATTTGGCAAAGGGAAGAAGGAAGCCAAGGCTTCAGATAAGGATGAGGGGACTTTGTCCAGACAGGCAGGACCCAGGTTCTATGGAGGCAAACCTACCAGGTTCCAGACACACCAGGGCCTTCTGTCCTCTCTTGCCTTGTGGCCTTAAGAAACATACCCTCAGCCACAGATATTTGTGAGATGGTGTCCTCCAGTAGCCCAGGGAAGTGTGGTTTTTTAAGGTGACCAGGGATCCAAGTCAAGTCTTGATGGAGTTATGGGCAGTTTTCAGCCCCTGTGCACACAAGGAAAATGGAAGAAGGGAAAAGTAATTAGATGCAGATATACTTGAATTGATGGAGACTGGAGCCTGGCTTAGGGAGAGCAGGAGAGAAGCAGAAGAGAAGAGGGGGAGAAAGGGGGAGAGCACCCCCTGGGTCTCCTCACCACCACGGTGGCCACTATAAGGTTGCTCATCCCTTCTCTAAAAGTCACTGCCTTCGCCCTAGCCGGGTTGATCAGTGGTTAGAGCGTCGGCCCACAGAATGAAGGCTTGAGGATTCAATTTCAGTCAAGGGCTCAATCCCTGGCCCCTCCTCAAGGTCGCATGTGGGAGGTAACCAATTGATGTGTCTTTCTCACACCTATGTTTCTCTGTCTCTCCCCTTCCCTTCCACTCTCTAAAAAAATCAATGGGAAAAAATATCCTCAGGTGAGAATTAACAAACAAAAAAATTGAAAATAAATAATAAGTCACTACCTTACCTCCCTGGGGTGAGCTGAGGGTCATGAAAAAAAATGCCAGCTGCATTATTCACAATAGCCAGAAGGTAGAAGCAAACCAAGTGTCCATCGTTGGTTGACTGGATAAACAAAACATGGTCTATACATACAATGTAGTATTATTCAGACTTGGGAAATCTGAGACATGCTTCAACATGAATGAACCTTGAGAACATTATGATCAGTGAAATATGCCAGTCACAAAAACACAATACCGTATGGTTCTATTAACATGAAGTAGGTAGTCATCAAATTCATAAAGACAGAAAGTAGAGCCCTGACAGGTTTGGCTCAGTGGATAGAGTGTCAGCCTTCGGACTGAACGGTCCCAGGTTCGATTCCGGTCAAGGGCATATACCTTGGTTGTGGGTACATCCCCAGTAGGAGGTGTGCAGGAGGCAGCTGATCAATGTTTCTCTCTCATCGATGTTTCTAACTCTATCCCTCTCCCTTCCTCTCTGTAAAAATCAATAAAATACATATTTTTTAAAAAAAGACAAAGTAGAAAGGTGGGGAAGGGGGAAAGAGTATATAGTGTTTAATGGGGACAAAGTTTCAGTTTTGCAAGATGAATAGAGTTCTGAAGAGAATGGTGGTGATGGTTGCATAACAATATGAATGTACTTAATACCACTGAACTGTATACTTAAATATGATTAAGATGGTAAATTTTATGTTATGTATATTTTACCACAATTTAAAGACAATGCCCACTGCAAAGAAAAAACAAATTCAACTGCCTCCCTTTTTCATTTATATGTTCAAGGCACCAACTGCTGGACAAACTCCTCCCCTCAGGAGGCAATGTACTGTGTTTTCCTACAGGAGGAAAAGCTTCAAACTGAAGAATATTTCTTGGCCTGGAAAGGTCCCAGGAATGATGTGATTCCCCATCCTCCACCCCCCAATTTCATGGATCCTCTAATAAGGCAGGTTATTTTTTAAAAGTTGATTTCAGAGAGAGGAAGGGAGAGAGAGATAGAAACATCAATGATGAGAGCGAATCATTGATCGGCTGCCTCCTGCATGCCCCGCAGTGGGGATCAGTGCCCCAACCGGGAATCGAACCATGGCCTCTTGGTTCATGGGTCGACACTCAACCACTGAGCCACACAGGTTGGGCAGGCAGGTTACTTTTTGAGGCTAAAAAGTAGGCATGTTAAGAAGAGAAACGCCCCAACAGTCCTGCAGATGCTGGGTGTTGTCTGAAAGCTATTCGATAATTGTCTTAGTGCTTAGGCCTCCAGAGCAAGGGTTTCCCCCAGCAGATGCACACCTGTGCAGACCTGGTCTGGGAGAGGGGCAGCTGCAGCTGGGAGGCCGCTGGCCACAGCTTCAGAGGTAGTAACTGTCTCTAGATTTCTGAGGCATCAAAACCTTCAAATCCAGAGAAGCAACTAATGGCCAGGTGGCACCTGCAAGGTTTTGCACGTTCCCTAAAGTCCTTTATATCCTCTGTAGGACCTTGACGCCAACTCAGCATGAGTTGGAACTCAGAAACCTAGTATTTTGCTGGTTCGCTTAACAGCTGCAGTGGAACCTCAGTTCTTAAACTGAATTCGTCCCGGAAGGCTGTTT